CAGTACTTAGAACAGTATCTGACACATAACAGGCCCTTAGCAAATATTTATTGACTGACTACTGACGGTTCCCTTTTCTTTCAAAGGTTCATTCCATACATCTCTATCACCTTGTACAGATCATTGTTGATATAAGCGATTAGCCTTCAGGTCATTCCCTCTTCCTTTCTCAGGGAGTTTATTTTTTATATTGATTTCTAATTAAGAAAATTTATTTTCTCTCCCTCTAAACTCTCACCCCATTGGGAAAAAAGGAAAAATGAATTCTTTGTAATAAAAATACATAGGCAAACAAAATGAATTCCCTTATTGGTTGAGTTCAAAATGCATACGTCTCATTCTACACCCTGAATCCATCACCTTTCTATCAGAAGGTAAATAGGATGTTTTATCATACATCCTCTGGAATCATGGATGATCAGTGCATCATTCAGTACCTGGCTCACAGTTTTCTTTTTTTCCCCAACCCCTGTTCTCTAATTTGGAAGTTTGGATAGACATGTGGGTCCTCCCTTGAACACCTCAGTCTCAAGGTTCATCACCTTTAACCTCTATCTGTTCTCTACACTCCATCTCAGCCATCGACAGGGCAATCATACCTTAATCCTACTCATCACCCATAATTTTCTACTAACATGTGCTTGAACTTTAAAATTCCCCACTTTGATAATCATCTCTTATTCTTTCATCTTTCCCTTTTTCTCAGTTTTCCTAAACTTATTATCTTCATCACAATCTCTAGTCCAATTCCCCTCTCAGATAATCATTCCTGTTCTTCATCTTCCTCCCTGTAACCTTAATCCTGTGGTTAACCAATTCAACCATATACTGTCATCTCACCAGAGGTACTGGTCCACCCTAAACACTCCATACACCCCTAAACAACAAATGCTTATTGACTAATAAAGAAGATACTGTTTTCTTTAATCTGGTGTAAATGCCTGTGCTAACAAGGACAAATATTTTCCTTTGTAACAATTTAAGCATCCTCCTTTGTTATAATGCATGCCTTTTTCCCCTCTATGTGCTATACTTGCTCATAGCAAAACTGCCTTGTAAGAAACACACTGTCTCTATCTTCTCATTTTTAATCTCTGGAGAGAACATATGTGTATGTCTACACATTTATAATCTATACACCTATGTATATGTACACATATACACATATATGCATATATATGTATACATTATATTATGTGTGGAATTCATCTGCTGATGACACACACACATATCCATCACCTATTGATGGTGTGCGACATGCTTTTGAGTGAATAAACAAACTGCAGTTTACCTGTCTATATTCATTATCCTAGGCTTATTTGAGCAGTAGCAAGTAAGAACACTGAAAATTCCAGCAACATTTCCCTTTCATTTTTAAATTCCTAGAAATAATCATCATGCATTCTGCTTCCGCATATACTTCTCAAGCCCTTGCAAACAGGCTTCTGACACCACCCCTTGCCCAAGACTATTTTCTCGAACGTGACCAACAGTCTCCACTGCTAAAAACCAATGGCTTTTTTTCTTTACTCTCCATATTCTTTGACTTTTCCAAATTTTTTATGTTGTTGACAAGCCCCTTCTGTTTATAAACTCTTCTCTACCTTTGCCTTCTGTGACACTCCTCCCTTCCAGCTCTCCTACCTGTCAAACGTTCGTTTTTTCAGTCTTATTGGTTCATTATCCACCCCGTTTGATAACCATATTTTCCAAAGGTTTTTGCTTTTCTCTCTATGTTTCCCTTGGTTATCTCATTCTACCAACATGGATTCAATTATCTCCAAGCAGGGATTCTACATTTACCTAATAGGCCCTAATGTTTCTCCTGAATCTTAATTCTGCATCAAAAAATTGTCAGCTAGACACCTCCAGTAGGCTGTCGCATCAATACTTCAAATTAAAGATATAGATAATAGAAATCAACTTTTCCCTAAAACTCACTACAGCATCCATCTTTCCCAAATCACTCTGTATTTATTTTGCACATATTCTACTTACACATCTATATGTTGTCTCTCCCATTAGAATGCAAACTCCTACAGGGCAAGAACTGTTTTGCATTGTCTTTGTATTTCCAGCACTTAATATGCCCTCTCCCAAGGAAACCTAGACTCTGTCCCTGGTACCCTGGTCTCTGATAGGTGAGCTTTTCGTCATAGCTGGACTGGAAACAAGCCTCCATTTCACTTTTCCAAACCTTGCCAATTCACACATACTCCATTCTAAAGGAGGCAGTTCCTTGAGGGCACAGAACAGCTGGCTTACTTCCCTAGGTGTGTATCCCAAGTGCTTAGTCCAGTGTCTGGCACATAGTAAGTACATAATATACAATTTTCCATACATATATAGACCTGGCACATGTTTTTTGTAATTACTGTTCAGATCAATCATATTCAACTCTTCATGACCCTATTTGGGATTTTCTTGGCAAGGATGCTGGACTGGTTTGCCATTTCCTTCTACAGCCCATTTTAGAGATGGGGAAATTGAGGTAAACAGGGTTAAATGACTTACTTAGGGTTATACAGCTACTAAGTGTCTGAGGCTGGATTTGAACTCAGATCTTCCTGACTCCAAGCCTAGCACCTCTATCCACTGTGCCACCTAGCTGCCCTAGATATGGCACATAGTGGACACTTAACAGATGTTTGTTGATTGACTAATCTCAAATATCTCCATTTCTGGTAGGCCACTCCCATCCTTCCAGGGTTCACAACCTGGAATTCATCCTTGACTCTTCACACTTGGCCCTTAGACCTAATCTCAAGACTCATCATTTCTATGTACAGAACAGATCCAAATCCCATCCCCATCTTATATATAGTGAAGGCTCTCATCACCACCTACCCACACTACTGCAGTAGACTAATAATTTATCTCTCTGCTTCAAGACTCCCCTTTCTCCAATCTACTCCCCTGTACAGATGCTAATGTAATTTTCCCAAGACACAGATTTAACCACTTTGCATTGCTCCTCAAGTTGCTTAAGCTGGTGCTCACAAATAAATGCCTCTGTTTGGTATTGAGTACCGTTCCCAACCTAGTTCTCCATCCTACCTTAGAGCCTTGTTAAGCATTAGTCCCCTTCGAATTAATCCAGAAGCTCTAATCTTCAAAGCTCAGCCCAGACAACACCTTCCATTGGGATGTCCCTGAGCCCCTCCCAGCTACTAGTGTTTCCCCAAAAAATTATCTTGTATTCCATATACTGATTTTTCTATCTACATTGTTGTCTACCCCTGGCACAGTGGATAGAGTGAAAGACATGGAATCAGAAAGACCTGAATTCAAATTTGGCCTCAGACATTTACTAGCTGTGTGACCCTGGGCAAGTCACTGAGCCCCATTTGCCAGTTTCTTCATCTGTAAAATAAACTGGAGAAGGAAATGGCAAAACACTCCAGTATCTTTGCCAAAAAAAAAAAAAACCCCAAACGGGGTCATAAAGAGTCGGACATAACTGAAACAACTAAACAACAATAGAATATATGCTAGCAAAAATACTTTTCTTTGCCTTTCTATACCAAGACATCTAGTAGGAACTTAATAAAGTAAGGATTTATTGATTGATTCCTTCTACCTGGATATCTTGCCCTGCCATTCTTTTAAAAAAGAGATTTTATTTAAAAAAGATGCCATAAGAAGATGAATTTTTCTATTTATAAGATCCTTTAAAAGTCAACAATATCAAAGAGAACCATGTGATGTAGTGGAAAGAACATTTATTATTAGGATTGAAGAGACCTGATTTCTAACACCAATTCTCTCACTAACAAATAGAAGTTACTAATCCCTCTAGGCCTCAGTTTTCTTATTTCTAAAATACAGGGATTGAACTGAGTGATATAAAAGGTCCCTTCCATGTATCTTTAGAGGTCTGTGACCAGCATTTTAAATAGTAAATAGCTAGGATTAAGTGGCTACTTACAGTAAAGTACCAGTTTAAAATACGTTAACTTGTTCAAATTGTGAATATATTACCAGCAGAAGAGGTTTTTCATCAAAGAAAAGATAATGTCTCTGAAAACCTACAAAGCATCTTCACTACTGAAATTATGTCTTGGTAAGTCTACCATTTGAAAACAATAGGCTTGATTTCCTTTTTGTCATCTACATTTTAATTTTCAAATATTTAAATTCTTGAGAGTTGCTCATAGATCAGATTTCTATTCCATAAGGGTTCTCTCCATTAAGTGACACCTCCCCCAAATGAAGAAATCTGATATGGGTAAAAGTATTAAGACTAACAGATAATCTTATCTCCTCAGATTTTTCAGAATTAAAATGCTTACACTCAAATCTATTAAATTTAGCACTGATACTTATCACAACAAAGATCAAAATTAATATCATTTCCACAGATTAATAATTACTCAGAAATAGCTTTGACAAAGTTGCCATATCAGTAGGACAACATGTGGGGTAACAAAAGAAGCACTAGGCTAGGATCTAGGAGACATACATTCTAGTCGCAACTGGCCAAATAATGATCTGTGTGACCTTGGGCAAACCACTTGTCTGGGTTTTAGTTTCCTCGTTGGTAAAATGAGGAATGAGAAAGTCGGAAGAAACAACTTCTAAGGGCTTCTCTCCTTCCCCCTAGCTAGAATGTTCTCTGAAAATTGCTCTAAATTATTTTTTTTTGAACACTGGAAAATGTCATAATGGGTGGCTGTAACTCACAATGGACGGCTGTATTCAAAATCAAGTTCCTGGAAATGAGTCACAGAAGTCAACAATTAGCTTTACAGTGACATTTTAAAGAAATGTCAACTGCACCTCTGATGCACCTGTTTTGTTTGGCACTGAAGGTATTTTCTAATGCAACCTATTCTCATGAAGAACATGTTTATTTACTCCCTTCCTGCAATCAGTAGAAAAGAATGTTTTCTAACTGATGCTATAATGGATGATTTAGGTCAGGAAGTATGACCTAAAAACACCTAAAAACAAAGTCAACGGAACGCTTGTTTTTCAAAAGCCAGGGAGACGGGTTTTACCGAGCCAGATGAAGAACAGCTTCCACAACATTGGAGCCTTCCTTCGCGCTTGTTTCACAGAACAAGGCGCCATAGGTCTGGGGAGAAGAAACACATTCAACAGTTACACGGAAGGTCAGGCCTTTCTAGGAATTTTAGCACTTTAATCAAATAAATCCTTAGAGAAACTAACTTTATCTGAATACCTGCCCATAAATTTCTTGTTTCAGTTTTTAAGGGATGACTATAATTTGCTAAAGATTTTGAGGAATATCAGGGTTATATGGATTACAGACACAGTTATATGGTCTGAGTGCTGGAATTAAGTGCCAGAAGGAAAAGACCTGAGCTCAAATCCAAACTTATAAACTTATTAGCTATGTGACCCTAGGAAAGTTATTTAATTTTTCTTGGCCTCAGTTTTCTTCATCTGTAAAATGAAGATAATTGCACCTGTCTCAAAGGGTTAGTGTTAGGGATCAAAAGTGTTTTGCAAACATCAAAGTTATGTAATTATTATCATTATCATTATTATTATTATTATTGAGGAGGAGGAAGAGGATATTCTATAAGAAGAAAAAATTTGGTGATCTTTTCTTGGGCTTTAAAATTTCCATTCCCAGGATTCTCATATTTGAAACCTCAGGGGTACCTCAGACTCTTTTCCTCACTGTCATGTCATATACCCCCATCAGCTAGTAAGTTCTCTCAATTTACTTTCGCATCTCCTGCATCCATCTCCTCTTCCTAACTCCCACTGCCAGCACCCTATTATGGTCCATGACTGAAGCAGCCTCAACACACTTGCTCGCCTCCCCATCCTCTCTCCCCAGCAATCCATCCTTAAAACCAGTGGCAGAACCTTTCAATAAATAAATATTTATAAGCACCTACTATGTGCCAGACACTGTGTTAAGTGCTCTTTCACAGAGTCTGGGAGTTTGAAGAGATTGATCTAAGCATAGAAGGAAAGCCCACAATAAATAACAGAGGTGACACTGACCATCGAACCTCTGTATGCAGACGTCCAAGGAGGGAGAACCCAGCACTTCTGAAAGCAACTCATTGCACTTTTATATCCCATGGTCTAGCATGGTACCAAGCACATAGTAGGCTCTTAATAAGTCCTTGCTGATTGATCAGAATAGCTTTAATTGTTAAGAAGTTTCGGTAGTTGGTTTGGAGCCAAAGAGAACATTATAAACTGTACAACAGTGATCCGTGTTTGTGTTCTTTGCTCCCTAAGGCCAAGGCATAACGCCTCTCAATGTATCTTTCCCAGTGCCTCTCTATAATACAGCAGGTCAAATACCTGAGTCTTGTTTTTTGGTTAAATACTATGAGATCCTTCAGCTAGGTCTCATGAACTCCAAGTCCTTCACCATTCTGTTAACCTTTCTCTGAACACTCTCTCTCTAGCTTACCAATGTCCTTAAGCTGTGATGCCCAGCACTGAATGTAGTACTCTGGATGAGGTCTGACTGGGACAGAGTCGAGTTCTCACCTCTTAATTCCTGGAAGCTCAAGATGACATTATGCTTTCTTAAGCACAGGTCATGGCATCGCCACTGCATATGTTCACTGATTGCCTTCTGCCTATCAAATAAAGCTTAACTTTCTTTTCTTAGTATTCAGGGTCTTTCACAAACCTATATCACTTTATCTTTCCAGCCTTATCTCATATAACCTGTCCTTCAGGCCCTCTTTGCTTTGGACTATTTCTATCTGCTGAGCAAACATCTTGTTTTGGCTCACGATGTTCCTTCTTCCTGAAAAGTTCATTCTCAACTTGAGTAGTGGATAGAATACGAGACTCAGAATCATGAAGATCCACATTCAACTTCTTACTCAAATAATTACTGTGTGACCTTGGGTAAGTCATTTAATTTTTCTCAGTCTCCATCTTATCATCTGTAAAATGGGGATAAGAATAGCTGGTTCATGGGATTGCTAGGAGGATCAAATCAAATGAGATAACATGCATGAAAGTGCTTTACAGAGTGCTGGCTGAAAATATTGATGTTGTGGTTGATATTATTGATATATTGTTGTTGAATTCCTAGGCATTCTTTAAAGCCCAAGTCAGATGTTTTCTCCTTGCATGAAACCTCTTATTTCTGCTTCCCATTTGGCAATACCCTTATCCCAATTAGACTTCTCATATACAGCATTTGGTTACTTTTTAGCAGATTGCAAGCTTCTTAAATGCAGAGACTTTTTTTGTTGTTGTTGTTCTGATTTTGTATCTCCAGCACCTAGCAAAGGGTCTTGAACATAGCTGGTGCTTAAAACAGGGTATCCCAAAGTTTGGTGCCATTTTAAGCTATTAACAATTAAAACTGTGGGGCAGCTAGGTGGCACAGTGGATAGAGCACTGGCCCTGAAGTCAGGAGGACCTGAGTTCAAATCCGGCCGCAGACCAAACACTTGACACTTACTAACTGTGTGACCCTGGGCAAGTCACTTAACCCCAATTGCCTAAAAATTTTAAAAAAAAATTAAAACTGCACTAAGACTTTTGGGACACACTCAATATTACTAATTCACTGGCAAACCACATACTTATCATGTAAATTTGGACAGAAGACAATGACCTGTGTTTGTGTTCTTTTTTTTGTTCTCTTTTGTGTTTCTCTCTCTCTTTTTTTTTTTTGCTTCTCTTTTCCCCCAAATGCTGATATTTCTCTAAACCTCACAGTTTATAAAGTACTTTTCTCACCACAACCCCTCTGAGATAGTTATCAGAAGGATCATTTTATAGGTGAGGCAGCTGAATGAAGCTCATAAAAAGTGAGTTGTCTTGCCCAAGGTCACATGACTAGTAAGTAGCAGAGTCACAACTCCAACAAAGGACTCCATGTTGGACTTTTCTGCTGTGGTGCTCTGCCCCAGCAACAAAGCCTCATAGTGCGTAGGTAAGTAACCAGTGGGAAATTGCTACTGGCAACTGTCATAGGATTGCTTCCTTCTTCGTATTTGCATCCCCAATGCATGGCACACAGTAGATTCTTAATAAATGCTTGCAAATTACTATTCAGGGATACTCGGGAGAGTTAAAGGAAGGGCTAGGAATCCACATCTTTGCTCTCTCAAATTATTTTCTTTGATAGGCTTCAGTCAAAACGCTACACTCTCTCCCCCTATGCAATCAGTCTTCTTTACCTTCTGTTTACGTTCTTCAAGGGCAGTTAGGAGGTACAGTGCTAGTCCCAAAGATTTATCTTCCAGAGTTCAAACCTACCCTCAGATACTTATTAGCTGTGTGACCCTGGGCAAGTCACTTAACTCTGTTTGCCTCAGTTTCCTCATCTGTAAAATGAGCTGGAGAAGGAAATGGCAAATCACTCTAGTATCTTTGCTAATAAAATGCCAAGTGGGATCACAAAGAGTCAGATACAACTAACTGACAAGACAACAACAACAAATGTTGCTGAACTACTGTTTGTTTCCTTTATCATGCAATCTGAATTACTAAAATTCTTCCTCCCACACTGAACATCTAGGGTGCTGTGTGTCTACTATGCTTATTGGTCAGGAGTTAACTCAGGGTTCTCCATCTCCTCATTTGTAAAAATGAATTAAGTGATGTCCTAAGGTTACTTCCTGCTTATGGCCCTATGATTTAGTAGCCTAGAGGATATCAAAGTCAATAAACAAGCATTTACTAAGCAAGTACCATGTGCCAAGTACTGTGTGCAAAAAAAAAAAAAAAATGAAACAATCCCTACTCACAATGAGTTTACATTCTAATGAGTCAGTCTAGAGAACTGATTGAAAACTGTTTTATGTACAAGACACCAGAGTTCTGCCCTGAGTGAGCAAAACAGAAAGAAGATTATCAAGAAAGATTGGAAATCTGACTCAGAGCACAGCAGTGTGGATCCATAACAGCTTGAAATGACATCCACATATGTACGTACTGAATTCAACATTTTGTTGACACTCTGGGCGGTCTCAGTTGTATTCAGTTTGCTTAGGCCATCATGTGCTTAACCATGACCTAAATGGGTTAGATAATCTATGCTTTTGCATCTAGATTGAAGATCTCTTGTAATTTGTATTCATTGTTGATCTTACCATGGCCAGTTTTTCTCCAAAATGTTTTGGCACACATTGCTGTCCCTGGGCCAAAGCTGCTTCACAAAGATCTGCCTTATTTCCCACCATCATAATTGGAATTGTTTCATGCGCTGCATCCTACAAAAGGAAAGAAAGGGAAAAAGAGGGAGAGGGAAAGGGAGAGAGAAGAGTCAGGGGAATCTTTTATATACAAACTTCTACTCTTTATGTAGTACTAATAATAAAGGTGATAGGCATTAGCATAATTGCATGTTTACAGCTAAAAATCTAACTTCTTATTTTAAATGCAAAGGAAACAGCAAGCAAAGACTAATTCAAGAAACATCCCTGCATTTAAATATTAAATTGGGCTGTGAGTCACACAGTAACTACTTGGAACCTCTGCTTCAAACAATAGTAATTAGATGGCAACTCCCATTAAAGCCAATACATAATATACAATCAATCTCGTAATTACCCTGTGACATCAATGGAACTGGAATTTCATACTTAACTACCATCTAGTTCATGGGGACAAAAAAAAAAGAAACAAAGGAACACCTCAGAAAACAGAGTACTAATGGTCATAATTTGTTCTTACACAGAAACCACTATTCAGGGTAATGGGTTGAGATAATGTACAAAAAAGCTTTCTGAAAACCTTAAAGCACTTTATATAACATTTTCTATTATCATAGAATCTTCAAGTCACAGGATATGTGAATTAGGTACACTAACCATGAGTTCCACTTGGATTATAAGCTAAGGTTGTATACAAGATGTCCCAAAAGTCCTAGTATAGTTTTAAGCTTTAATAGGTTATAACTGCACTAAGACTTTTGGGACACTTTCTACCATATAAGTGTGCACACATACACATAGATATAGTCATATTCTCTTTCACACATACATACATACATACACACACACAAATTTGGATATTTCCCTATGGTTCCTATATCATACACCTTCCTAAACTACCCAACGGCAGAAACTATTTGGGATCCTATATATCTAAGGAACCACAGAGTCAGAAGGGGGCAGGGAGAATAGTTACACTGTATCACTCAAACATGCCAACCCTCTATATTTGAAGTCTGATATTTCCCTATAAATTCATTTGAATAAGGATATATCAAAAGCCTTCAATGTTTGGTTTTTTTTTTCCCTTTGCCAGTAGAGCAACTAAGCCAAGTGCTTCAGAAACTTGCTACTACATAATCCGTTTTTGCACCAATACGTCCTCACTCTGTGGGATCCCACAAACCCGGATGAGTTTTATGTACTCAGCTCTTATCATGTTAAGAACAATCTAAGAGTCCTGGACTCAGATTTGTAAGAAAGAAAGGAGCCACAATAAGATCATCCCAGATGGACTGCAGGCTGCATCGAGCTAGGGTTCATATTTGTTCTTAAGAGTAGGCTGAAGTTCAGGGTAGGGGAATTTGAAAAGCCATACAGTTCAGTTCAAGTTCAAATACAGTGACTGGAGGCCACCAAGCATTTGATACCACTTCTAAATGCTGCAGCAAAAGGAGCCCTAAGGGAGAAATAGAAAGCAAGTGCCAGGCAAATCCACCATCACACTTGATCACTACCTCCTTACAGACTCTGATGGAAACAGACCCAAACCCTGAACCCAAGAGCACTGGGAATAGCAGTATCTCCCAACCACCAGAACTGCTTCCAGCTTAGGCCCCCACAGCCATCACTGAGAGAAGAGATCATTTTGGAGAAAGGGCCCAGCTTCCTTATCAACCCCAGCAACTGTTGACCAAATGCCAGCAATAAGCTGATAAGCAGGAGCCCTAAAAGTGACAGCACCCCATCCCCCAATCAGACCACCAGCCCTGCTTCCAGCCCAGTCCTCATAGGCATCATCTGAGGAATCAATTACTGCCAAGAAGGGGCCAGCGATCCCCATCAACAGCAGTCAAGGCGGCCTAGCCATGCCTGGAGAGAGAGGGAGGAGGCAGCAGGTGCCAACCAAATCAAACCACCACCACCCTGACCATCATCTCCCTTCAGACCCCGAGACAGACAGCCCAGGAATTTGAATCCAAGATCCTTGGGAATAGCAATGCTTCCAGTGTCTGCAGATATCATTCTGGGAAGCAGTCCTTAAGGAGATACACCCCAGCAACTGCCCCTGCAAGGTATTAGTCACAGCTCCTGAAAATCCAGAAGAGAAAGCTCTTACCACCAAAGTGCTTGGCACTATCAAATGGTTCGATATCAGAAACTGATTAACCTAATCAGTGGAATATTATCATCAACGGAAATGACATCACAGAAGAGCCATTATTAGCATTTGCTTTATGATATCTGCTGTATCCCAAGGACCATGGGACCTTTCACTCTGACTTACAGCTGCAATCTCCCCCATTAGAATGTGAGCAGGTTGAGAACAGAGACATTCTTACTGTTCTATTTATTTCCTTTAGCACAGTGCTTTGTACTCTGTAAGCACTTAATAAAGGTGTCATTCATTCATTCACTCATTCATTCACAGTTCCCTGTTACTGATAAGGCCCACTGTCAAATACGGCCCCAACCAACTTTTATGTATTTTGTTTTCCACTAATCCCCTGAATAAAACTTTTTGCCTTATCCATAATGGTTTACTCATTTCCTTGAACTGGTTATGTTTTCCCTTTTCTCCAGCTTTGCTCAGTGTACCTTCTATCTGTAATGTTCTTTCAACCAGCTTTCTAAATCCCATGCACCCTTCAAGGTCCAGACCAAACGTTACCTCCTCTGTCAAGATTTCTATCACCAACCTGGCCCAGTAGGAACCTTTTTTCTTCTACAATACCTGAAAAGCAGATTAGTGTACTGCAAAGAACACTAAATTTGATTTTGTTTTTTGCTTTCTTGGTGAGGCAATCGGGGTTAAGTGACATGCCCAGGGTAACGCAGCTAGTAAGCGTTGTGTGTCTGAGACTGGATTTGAACTTGCATCCTCCTGACTCCAAGGCTGGAGCTTTATCCACTGCGCCACCTAGCTGGCCCTAAGAACACTAAATTTGGAATGACTCAAGTCACCCCAAAAATGAGTAGAAAGACACAGGTCTCAATCATAGAACCATCATTTAATGCTTAAAACCTCTGAAACTTTGTTCTCTCTTCTGCACAATAAGGATGAAAAGGATGCCTATACTTTATACCTAAAAGGATTTATGTCAAATATCAACTAAGAATGTATAGAAATCCCTGTATAAATATTAGCTACTAAAGCTATTTGCTATACTACTCCTTGAGCATTTATTGCATTTTCTTATATTATTGGTTTTTACACATAAAAGACTTGTCTTTCCAAATGAAAGATTATACTAGGGGTGGGGAACCTGCAGCCTCAAGGCCACACGTGGCCTTGTAGGTCTCTGGGTGCGGCTTTTTGACTGAGTCCAAGTTTTACAGAACAAATCCTTTTATTATGAGGATTTGTTCTATGAAATTTGGATTCAACAAAGGGCCGCACTTAAGGACCTAGAGGGCCACATGTGGCCTCAAGGTCACAGATTCCCCACCTCTGGTCATCATACACACCTTTTACATCTTTGGATCCCATATGACTCCCTACCCCCCTTAGTACTCCATAAATATTTAATTACTGTTAAGTCATCAGATGAATGAATGGTTCCAAAAGCAGATTGGATCTGAAATTTGATTTAAGGTTTTGCAATGCAAAGACTACTTCCTATCAACACCCAATGAAGTTATTAATTTATATAGACTAACCAACAGTAACATATGTATTACATTACGTTCTTTACCCCTTTCCAGTAAATCAAGATACCAAATTCTATATATCTTCACCTAAGTCATTCAGGTTCTATAAAGCAAGACAGAATGCTTTCAAATTGGGAATCATAAGAGAGAGGCCAGCAGATCAGTCATTTTTCTGATGGATAAATCAGATGTCATATTGTAACCAATTTCATCCCCAGCTACAAATACAGGCAGTGATCTTTGATGAAAAGTTATCCCCTTTCACATTCTAGTTATAGCCTGGGGAAACAGTAGTGCTGCCAACTTGGTAACCTACTTAAAATGTGTAAATATTTAACAATGATGGCAGCTAAGAGTCAGGAAAAATCTTCAGCCATTTAATGTCTGAACTGTTTTAAATACTCCAGTTGACCTCAACCACTTTGCATGTGTTTAATCACAGTTCAAACAACTATTTGGTAGGAAATGTCTTTCTGGGTTTTGTTAGCCTTGTGTGGCCCCTCAACTTACGGGCACTTCACTGTTTATGACATATTCAAAACTTGATGGGAACATATTATCAGTATTCCATCCACTATTCTACCCTGATTTATCCAGGCCTTCCCATTCCATCTGACTTTTATCTATGTCTTTCCATTAACTTCCAAACTAGAATCTTCCTACTATGTGCCTAAGCCTGTCTCTGGTTCTCTCATTACTTCATGAATAACCTCACTGAACTCATGCTATCTCTATGCTATGCTGTTCCTCATTCTCACTACATGACCAGTCTACCTCCTTTTCTGAATATAAATGTGCCTGATGACATCTATTACGTCACTCCTTGCACGTGAATCGTTCCTGGTAACATGCTGATGCCTATTCACTAGGATAACAAATGTACCTTCCATTGTTCTTTTGGTCACTTGCAAATTTTATTCCTCTGAAAACCTATTTTTCCATGAATTATGGAAGAGATATAATGGGAGATATTGGAAATCATGGGAGAAAGATTGACATTAAAAAGATGACTTTTTGCAGAGGTGGACAATGTGAGGTCTTTTAGTAACATCAGTTTCCCAAATATGATCCAGCCTGGTATCTTCTTTTTATTCAACTCAAGACCATAGCTCACTGGTCCTCTGCAGTAGCTACTCATGATATAACAACTACACACCAAAAATTGGGGACCAAAAATTTCAATAACTTTTAGTCTACCTTTTGTCTTTGTATCTTTTCACAGACTGCATCCTTATGCCTAGAATCTACTACCCTCCTCACCTCCATCTTTGAGGTCCTCTGGTTTCCTTCAAAACTCCATTCAAAAATTTTAATTCAAAATTCAAGGATTGCTCCTGACCCACCTTCGCTCTCAGCTGCTACTAGTTCTACTGGATAATTTTATTTGCTTTGCATATATTCTGTAT